GCAGATATAGACTCTTAAACATTTTAACCTAAACATACATCATAAGCAATCTTCCAAAACTCTGGTTCAATCAGACTCTCAGACTCAGAAGCCTCCGTAGCATCATCTCGAATCCTCAACAACCCACCAGCAGTAGCAGCAATTACTTGACCAATCAGGAACTCTGGTTCAATTAGGCTCTCAATCACTTCTTTCCATATTTACTCTCTCTCTCTCTCTCTCTCTCTCTCTCCTCTCTTTCTCTCTTTATCTATGCATTTGATCTCCAAGTCTGTGTATAATTGTTGAGAATGAACTGATCTCAAAGTCTGTGTATAATGTTGGGGCGGTGGTGAAGCTCCGAAGAATGCTGCGAACGAAGAGGAGAGGGATGGGTTGTTTGGTACAAGAAGGGAGAGGAGAGAGAATGAGAGAGAGAGAGTGTCATATATGGATATAGGTGAGGGACCTTAGACTATAAAAACAATTATTGTGGACCTATCCCATTACTAAAAGTTGAGGAGGGATGTTAGACCAATTTTTCCTTAATTAAACTTATTTTTTAAAAATTTAATGTGCCAATTAAATTAGAGAAAGTAAAGAGAAAAAAAGTAGACGAGAGAAATTAATATTATATAGGGAGTCACTGTAACATTTGTTAAATTAAAGAATTTGTTAAGGAGTTTGTTGAGGATGATTTTTAGAGTGTTCATGCCCTAAAATAGTTAAAAATTAATTATAGGGTATCTGTTGAGATGCCCTAAGCTTAGGAAAATGTGAGGGAAAAAAAAAGTAAGAAAAAAGAGATAGAAAAATTTAAAAAAAAAAAAAAAAAAACTAACCACATTCTTAGAGTTGTTTGAGAAACTAGTTTTTTTGGCTAAAATAGTCAAAAAGTCAAAACACTCAATCACATTACTTTTTTTCAAAAAAATTTATATGTATTTTTATAAAAAAAAATTAAAAAATCAACTAAAATAGTTAATTTTCAAACAAACTCTTAAGGTTGTTTGTAAGAATGATAAAGAGTAACAAATGTAAGAAAGAGAACAAAAGAGAGAGCAGAGAGAAAAGTAAAGAACTGATAAAAAGGGAGAATTTTGTTTTAGTGTATTTTAAAAAAAAAAATATTTACATATTAATAATAAATTTTATAATATTAAAAAATAATTTTATAAACTTTATCATGTATTTAAAATTACTTTTGGAATTTACCACTTAACTATTATTTTCTCCTATAAAAAAACGAAAAATATAGAAAAAAAAATGATATAGAGAAGAGAGAGAGAGAGAGACACTATTAGTCTATCATCACCATAAATTTTATAATATTTAAAAAATAATTTTATAAACTTTTTAATGTATTTAAAATTACTTTTGGAATTTACCACTTAACTATTATTTTCTCCTATAAAAAAATGAAAAATATAGAAAAAAAAATGATATAGAGAAGAGAGAGAGAGAGAGACACTATTAGTCTATCATCACCATAAATTTTATAATATTAAAAAAATAATTTTATAAACTTTTTAATGTATTTAAAATTACTTTTGGAATTTACCATTTTTTTTTTCTTTTTTTTCTTTTTTTTAGATTTGAACTCAAGGTTGAGCTTGTTAAAATATTAATAAACAAATCCAAACATACTAAAGTTCGGCTCGTTAGCTGGTTCGTTTAACATTTATTATTTATATATTAAATAACATTAAAATATGTATAAAATATAAGATAAATATGTTATTTATATATTTAAAAATATAAATGTAAATAATAGCTAACTATAGATAATACATTTATATAATAGTGGTGGTAGATATTATTATTTTGGTAAAATATTAATTTTTATAGTATGTTTATACATATTGTATATATAATTGTATAATCAAAGTTTTAATTGTAACTTTAATATCATATGCAAGTATTAATTTATGATTTTTTTGGCTGGTTGAAGCTCATAAACAGGCTTGAGCTTGAGTCAAGTTTAAACCAACTCGACTCGAGCTCGGTTTGTTAAATTTTTATTGAGCTCGAACTTGAACTCATTAAAATCTTAATCAACAAATCCAAACATACTAAAACTCGGCTCATTTGTAGTCCTGCTGTTGAAAGCTTTTCCGATTATCTTTCAACCGTTATCATTACAACAAATTAAGATTTTAGAAAGCTAAATTCAAGATAAAATTATTTTTAAGGATGAAATTTTTTTATTTCGAAAAATTTCGTGATGAATTATTATCTTTTTGGGATTAAAATTTTTTTATTTCAAAATATAAACCTTTTTTTGACCAAATTATTTTGTCCCTAATATATTAGCGACATTTTCAATTTTTTATTGCTAAACTCTTTTTTGACTTTTTAAAACGATCTTTTAGCGACTATGTTCGCGACCACAGAAGTTGACCACAAAATATTTTCTGTAATAAAATTCACTTTCGGGGACACAAATTTAGTCCCTAAAACTTTTATATATTGTAGTGGTGTTCTCATTCATCCTTTCATCGGCAACTATCTCTTCTTTCTCTTCTGTCTCTCCTCCTCTCTTTCTCATCTTTCCATTTTTTTTTTCCTCTAATTCTTGACCCTACATGTTACTAACTTGAGACAACCGAAATACATAGAAGAATTTCACAAAATGGGAAACACTTATTTGTCTCACATGTGTCTTGTCTTGTGAAAATTTTCAATGTCCTAGAGCACAATTATTCTTAGTTATCTTGGTTTTTCTCAAATTTGTTCCATTCTATACATAAGCCTTTATTAGCAGCATTTTTGTAAGGCATCATTTGTAAATCAGCTAAAAAAATCAATATATTGGCTAAAAAAGTAAACATAATACTAAACTTTTTAGCAGAAATAAATTTGGCTGATAAGTTTGGATCACCCCGAGATGTATCTAATGTTCCTAGTTGTATTAAAAAAGAAAATGTTGACAATTACTTTAATATCTCCTTCAACTTAATTGAATTTTGTATGATACCCTGTCTTTTAAGGCCTTGCCTTCTGCAACTATCTTTCCAATATGTTTTTTTCAACCAAGAGACTATTCTCAACTATTTTAATAATATAACATGTTGTTTTTCAACTATTCTAAAAAACACATGTGCCAAAAACATATAATTCATGGTATAAAATTGAAAGAGAAAAGAAAGGGACACACATGAAATAGACTAGAAACTTCCTCCATGGTTACTAAAATCTAGGGATACACTGCATAACTCTGCTACAGAAAGTAAAAATGAGAAGCAGTATCTATTTCATAATATAATAATTTCACATCATCGATTGAGTAAGAAAAATTTTAAAAAATTAATTTATATAATGTTACATTTATGGATCTCATAAAAAGGAGGGATTATAAAGAATCTCTTAAATTAGGGCCGGCCTACCACTCAATGTAGCCTAAAGTGAAATGTTCTTAGGAAGCTTTTAATATATACATATAAATTCAAATAATATTATTAATCTTGAAGTTCTCTCTCCTTTTATTTATTTATTTATTTTAAGAGTTATAAAACAAAAAGAAATGAAAATTGCTATAAGTTATCATGTAATTAGAGCTTTAAATTGGTGGAGGTTCTTTTCATAAATCTCATCTCAACCTATTCTAAATTGGTGGAGGTTTCTTCTTTTCTTTTTTTTTTTGTTTTTCTTTTTTTTTTGTTTTCATAATGTGAGCATTTAAAAAATAGAATAGGTACTTTACATATATAAACTAATCCACATAGGCATTTTCTAAATCTGTGGAACTCGTATTATGCTTATGAGTAGAATTTATTTATTTATTTTTGTTGTGTGGATGTCTTTTTCATAAAAAATAAAAGGCCTTATTAATGAGTGTTTGAATAACATTAGTTAAGAAAATTTAAAACAAGACCCCTATATATAGGGGCGACTCTACATGTAAGGGTGGGTGTTCAATTGAACACCCTGGAATTTATTTATTTACATATATGTGTGTAATTCAACCCAAAGCTTTATGTGAAACACTTTAATCCACTTTTCCAAACACCCAACTCACTTGAATACCCATCCCAGCCCACTTTCTTATACAACCAACCCAACCTAGCCCAGCGCATAACCATTAATCAATATACGTGCTTTGTGAAGTGAACACACAATATGTTTTGCTTCCTCAACCTATGCAAAGTACCTCTTTGACAAAATTGTGTGATTTTGCAACCCTCAACAAGTGTATCACTTGAATGTTAATGTTGATAAGTAGTTTTATAGCTGATCTCAATTTGTATTAAAAGGAGCTTTCTTCATTATTTATTTATTTATTTATCATGTGAGTGATAAAAGTAAAATATATTTATGTAAATTTTTGTATCTACATTTTATTTTTTGAAACAATGATATCAATATATTATAATTTTATTTTATTTATGTATTTGTTTATGATTTGAAAAGTCTAAAAAAATTAAATTTTTGAATGTCTACCCTGAAAAAAATTTGTGGACTACCCACTGTGAACACTTTGAAAAAAATTCCTCGAGTCACCAATGGCTATATATCACATTATTTTGTCACTATTATATCACTCAGTATATTATTTTTAGTAATTCCTTAATTATTATATCTCTAAATAGGAAAATCAATCATAAATTTCCATATAAGTGGTGATGCAATCCGGTGAAAAAAATCCATTAACATATAATCTTTCTCAATTTAAAATAATTGTACATTTTTAATGACACATACTTTTTAAAAAAATAGATAACCATTTCAAAAGAGTTAATAAATGAATTTAGAGCACTCTTCAATAAAATTATCTTATTACTTTTCAATGGACGTCTTGTGTAATTATGAGAAAATGGGATCTTCAAGTGGGGGCTAAAGCGCAAGGCTTTAAGCCGACCCTGATTTAAACTAGAAGAATGAGATTATAGGCAGACAATTTTTTATCACCTATTGACAATGAGAGTAGCAGCCTAAGTGAATGCAACGAAAAGACCCGGAAATAACTAATAATAAAACAATTCATATATTGACATTAAAACAAACAAAGTGCTGGAGCATTACAAAGTCTTACAGGGCATCCAAACAAAGTCTTGAATAACAAATGTCACCACCTGGAGCATCCACACTTGAAACAAGGACTTACAGGGCATCCTACAATGACTTCCACGAAAAAAAATATATATTTGTAACGCGCAAACAAAGACTTAGGACTATCAATAATTCAATACCAAAATCATCACAGAATGGTGGGGAACTTATGCCCTCCAGACTTAGGACTATCAATAATTCAATAGCAAAAGCAATTTGCCCAATAATTGTTACAAATGTATATAACAAATTTTATATCAAGCATGTACTCTTGAATTGCCACAAAACCTCAGTTGACTTGGAGCATTACAAATTCCCAGTTTTAAATGTTAGTTCAGCTCACCATTTCCTCTTAATTATCCCGTCAAAAACAAAGCCTACTACTGCACAGAAACACTTCAAACAAGAAAATGGCCGAAATTGCGGTGCTCCATCTACTAGCCAACTTTGCACCCTTCCTTCAGGGAGAGGTCAATTTGCTGAGCCGAGTTCGGGAAGAGATGGAAGACATTAGAGGTGAATTCGAGCGCATGTCAGCTTTCCTCAAAGTTGCTGATGCTAAGGAAGAAAGTGATCCTGAACTCAAAGTTTGGATCAAACAAGTCCGAGATGCTGCTTATGACACTGAAGATGTTCTTGACAAATTCAAGCTTCACCTTGTACATCATCGCGGCAATGGATTCGGTGGTTTTCTTTGTAAGGTTTTCTACTTCGCCAAGACTTTAAAAGCTCGCCACCAAATTGCTTCTGAAATACAAAGAATCAAGTCCAGGGTCATCAATATTTCCGAGGGACATAAAAGATACCATGATAAATATGGTATACTAGAGCAAGGCTCAAGGTCCACTGTTGTTAACAATTCATGGTCTGATTGTCGTGGCGATGCACTTCTAATCCAAGAAGCAAAGCTAGTGGGCATTGAAATGCCCAAAAGACAACTGATGGAGTGGCTTGTCCAAGGAGGTTCGGGGTTGAAAGCGATTTCTGTGGTGGGAATGGGCGGCATAGGCAAAACAACTCTGGTTAAAAAAGTCTACGATGCTGCCGCCGTGAAGAAGCATTTTAACAGCCATGCTTGGCTCACTGTTTCGGAGTCATTTGGGGTTGAGGATCTCCTGAAGGACATGATTCGACAATTGTTCCATGAAATCATGCAACCAGTCCCTGTTGGAGTTGAAACTATGAGCATCAATAGGCTAAAATGTCTAGCTAATGATTTTCTACAGCAAAGGAGGTACGTGGTTGTTTTCGATGATGTTTGGAATGTCAATGCTTGGGAGGCTATCAAACATGTGCTGCCTGACAACAATTGTGGTAGCCGTGTCATTCTCACAACTCGTTTCGCCCATATAGCTTCTACCTGTTGCGAAGAAACTAATGGTCATGTTTATACCTTGATGCCGTTGTCCCAAGAGGAGTCTTGGATGCTGTTTTGCAACAAGACTTTTCGGGGGAACTTATGCCCTCCAAACTTGAAGCAAATTTCTCATCGAATCTTAAAAAGATGCGAGGGACTGCCACTTGCAATTGTAGCGATAAGTGGTGTTTTGGCTACAAAGGACAAAAGCCGAATAGATGAATGGGAAATGCTTTATCGCAGTCTTGGTGCTGAATTAGAAGGCAATGACAAACTACAGAGTATGAAAAAAGCACTCTCTCTCAGCTATAATGATCTGCCTTATTATCTAAAGATTTGTTTCTTATACTTGAGCATTTTCCCGGAGGATCAACAGACATCGTGCGAAAGAGTAATTCAACTTTGGACAGCAGAAGGGTTTGTGAATGGCATTGAGGGGAAGACAATAGAAGAAGTTGCAAATGGCTATCTCGATGAGCTATTCAATAGGAGCCTGATTCAAGTGGCAAATAGACATCCAAATGGAAGGCCTTCTAAATTTCGTATTCATGATCTGATGCGTGAAATTATTGTTTCAAAGGCGAGAGAGCAAAACATTGTAACAACAATTTGTAGACAGGGCTCAAGGTGGTCGGAGAAGGTTCGCCGCCTATTGATCCGAAGCACCTTGGATAATATGGAATATAGCGAGCATTCTTCTCGACTTCGTTCTCTGTTTGTATGGGGACCGATGGATTCATTGCCTATTGCATCCTTGCATGAGTTGTTTAGACGTGGTTCGAGGCTGCTAATAGTGTTAGATTTGAGTGGTACTCCATTGGAGACTATACCAGATGAAGATGGTCCCAAAGTTGATTGGGAAGCTTGAGAACTTGGAGACCTTAGATCTACAAGGAACCTATGTGACTAGGCTTCCTGATGAAATCCTACGCCTTGAAAAATTGCGCAATCTCCTATCATTTCATTTTAAATCAAGAAGCATTTATTTTGAATTTGGAGATGTGAGTGGCTTTAAAGCTCCATCTCAAATAGGAAGCTTGCAGTCGCTACAAGTGCTATCCCTGATAGAGGCAGACCAAAGAAGTGGATGTGGGATTAGTATAGTAAAAGAGCTGGGGAGGCTAACCCAACTAAGGGAGTTAGCCATTTGGAATTTAAGAAGAGAAGATGGGGTGACTCTGTGCTCTTCCATTGAAAAGCTCAGCAATCTTCGTAGATTAGATATAATTTCAACCAAAGTGGATGAGATCCTTGATCTGCAATCTCTATCTCCAGTTCCTCGATTTCTTCAACAATTATACTTGATTGGACGTTTGGAGGAATTTCCGCTCTGGATACCTTCTCTCCATGGCCTTGTCCGTTTACGTTTAGGGTGTAGCAAGTTAAGGGATGATCCTTTGCGATCCTTACAAGAATTACCCAATTTGGGTGAGCTAATACTTGATAAGGCATACGAAGGCGAGGTACTGTATTTCAAGGCAGGAGGATTTCAGAGGCTTAAACATTTACGTTTTTCTAAATTAAAAGGATTGCGATGGGTGAGAGTGGAAGATGGAGCAATGCCCCACCTTGAAACTCTAATTATCGTGAATAGTGATTTGATGGAGGAGGTCCCTTCAGGCATCAAACATCTGACCAACCTTCAAACATTTGAGCTTTTTGAAATGTCTCAGAAACTGATTTCAAAATTGGATCAAGATGTACAAGATGGGGATTATTGTAAAATAGCTCACATCCCTGAAGTTCAAATTGGGTACTTAGAACATGGTCAAAGGAAGATAAAGTTCCTATGAAGAGAGAAAGGAGAAGAGCTCTCTCTAGATTGGATCAGTATCATAATAAGTAAATTATTTCTTTTCCCTTTTTCTCAATTTTATTTCATATTCTGTAGATGATTTGTTTTATTTTTGGTCTAGATGATAATTGATTGCACTCTATTTTACTTAGTTATTTGACTCCAGAAATTTTTTTCAGGAGACATTTAAAAATTTAAACTTTATGAATCTATTAATTTAGACTTTTCAAATCACACCAAAAAAAAAAAAAAAAAAAAAACAATATATTGATATCATTGTTTCAAAAATTAAAACGTGGATAAGAAAACTTATTATAAATATATTTTGCATTTATCATTAGCATGATAAAATGAGACCTTTCTTCTTCTTCTTTTTTCCGCAAAGTCTGGTTTCTCCATGGTTAATTTGTGCAATAAGTCGTAAAATATTTTTTTTGATTTGTTAATAAATTGTGAACAAAATAAGTATCAGATTTGAGACAATAAATAAAATTTATGGATATATAATTTACATTGGATTATTGTTTAAAAAATTATATATACTCGAGACAATAATAAAAAGATTTAAAAAAAACAAACAAACAAACAAACAAAGAAGAATCTTTATATAAAGAAAAGCTTTGAGGTGGTGTCGACACAAAAATGTCACAATGTTAATTTTCAAAAATGTCTTTCTAACCTATTTAAAATACAAAATTATATAGAAAGGAATTTAGGACTCAAAACCAAAACATTGGTATGATAGGCAAGAAAGTTATCAATTGAGCGGTACATAATATGTGTGATTGCAATTCAAAATTAAAATTTATATTTTTCAAATTTAACAGCACAACCATCAGTTGGGTAGACACCCCTAGTTAGTATATGTCACGACCAACCCCGGGTGTTTAGGGCTAGAATCGCAACTTGCTAATTAATTTTAATTTTAACAAATTAAGTGGCGCAGGTAGAGGCGAAATAAAATATATTAATGCGGTGTTAAAATTAATTAAACATTTGGGGTGTCACAGTATATATTGAGCGGTACATAATATGTGTGATTGCAATTCAAAATTAAAATTCATATTTTTCAAATTTAACAGCACAACCTTCAGTTGGGCAGACACCCCTAGTTAGTATATGTCATGACCAACCCCGGATGTTTAGGGCCTAGAATCGCAATTTGCTAATTAGTTTTAATTTTAACAAATTAAGTGGCGCAGGTAGAGGCGAAATAAAATATATTAATGCGGTGTTAAAATTAATTAAACATTTGGGGTGTCACAGTATATATATATTAAGAGTATTAATGACCACATTTTATTACCATATTTTATTTATCATCTCATATATAATAAACATAAATTATGATACTCATTAAACTAATATGATAAGCTAATAAACAAATTATGGTAAGAAAAAAATAGTAATTCCATCAATTTTGTTTTACGAGTTCTCAAGGGTTATGAGCTGGGTGTCCAATGGAGTGGAGTTGGTTATGAGTTGGGTATACAATGGAGTGGAATTGGTGTTTAACCAAGTAAGTTGGGTGTTCAATAGAGTGAGATAGAGTATTCAGACTTCGAGAATGAACAATTTTAACATATATATATATATACTAATTTATTATATATATATATAATGATTAAAAATTAGCATTTTCAATTACATACCGTACCCAAAGGGTAAAGCCACCAGTTCCAGGCAAAGAGAGAGAGGCGAGAGCGTCTCTCTATAAGAGATTTCTGGCGATATTTTGGCGATACTCTTTTGACTTCCTTTTTTCTTCAAAAGTGTAGATCTATCCTCCCAAAGTGTAGATCTGGACTTTTTATTTTAGGAATAAGAGTTTTGTGATATCCCCTTCGATTCTTACATATATTTTTAGTATTATCCCCAATGGTTCTTTATTGTTGTGGGTTTCTTGAGTTTCAGCCTTCTGGTATATCGGCGTTAATGGTGGAGTTCGGGCAACGGTGGTGGCAGACATTTTTTGTGGCTTTTTGTAGTTTGTATTAGGTTTTTTTTTTTTTCCCTTGTAATTTGTTCTTTTCTTTTAATATATTGTATATTTTTGTGGTTCTTAAACAAAAAAAAGGGGTAGAGCCGCCCATGTCTGTTGGCAACATAAAATGTTATTTTGAGGTAAATTATGCTAACATTAGGAGAAAGTACTATAAACCCCATATTTTTGACATTATTACATTGAGTTTCCTTAATATTTTAATTCACATAACACGTAATTCATTTTCTATCAATAATTCATTAGTCATATGGATGAAAAATTGATGTTGTCATCTCTTTTATATTGAGAGTGACTCACAGGTGAGTTAATCTTTTTTTGTTGCTCTTCTCTCGGGCTTGTAATGGTTAGGGCAACGAAAGGAGTTCCAAAGAGAGAACGGAGATTAGAATTGCAAACCTAATTAAAATAATTGTAAACTTTTTATGACACATACTATTTCAGAAAATACACAACCATTTCAAAAGAGTTAATAAATGAATTTGGAGCACTCTTTAATAAAATTCAAAATAAATTTATCTTGCGATTTTTCAATGGGGGCCTTGTGGAATTGAGAAAATGAGGCCTTTTATCAAGTGTGGGCCTAAAGCGCAAGCTTCACTCTGTTCAGCTTTAAACTAGCCTAACTTAAATCACAAGAATAAGATTGTAGGCAAATAATTTTTTGGGGAAGTTACTGGACGGTCCCATTTTTCAATCTTAATACCCATCAAGCCCTTCCATTTTTGTTTTCCACTTTTACCCTTGGTTATCACAAGCGTGAAACACACCGTTGCTCACAAATTCTCTCTCCCCCAAACATGCGCGTGAAAGACACACGATTTCTCAATCATCTCTTAGTTAGTGCCGATTTTGAATAATCCACGAGATCTCTAGCGTTTTCATTCTTAAGGGATCTCTCACACCTTTGATCCAAATTGTGTAGAAATCAAAATTTTGAAGAGATCTCCATCATTTTGATCTAAATTTCGAAGAAATCTCACACGTTTTGATTGAGATTCGAACAAACACATCTATGCTGGTTTGGTTGATCTCTGATAATCATTCTGATAAAACGTGAGTCATACTCATCTCTGATTCTTATTTCATAACCCTAATTATGTAAATTAAACTTGACTTGAATCTATGTATGTTGATTTTTCGTATTAAACTATGAAGAGTTTATCAGTCGTATTCATATTTATTATGATATCTTCATGTTCATTTGCAATTTGCAATCTAAATTTTGCTATATAGTGATAAATTTGCTTAATTTGCCTAATTGAGTGATAAATTCTTCATAGTTTGCCTAGTTCAGTGTTAAATTTTTCATGTTGATTTTCTGTATTATACAATGATAATTATCAGTCATATTCATCATCTTCATCATGATATCTTCATGCTCATTTGCAATTTGCAATCTAAATTTTGTTATACAGTGATATATTTCCTTAATTTTCCTAATTGAGTGATAAGTTCTTCATAGTTTGCCTGGTTCAGTGATAAATAAGATTAATCTTCAGTGCATAACCTTTGTTTACTTAACTTAATTGATTGAAAAATATTCATGGTGCCTCATTGGTAGTAGGAAATTATTTATTTACCCGTTTTTGTTTATGTTGTGAAGTCAAGTTCATTATTGGTGAATTGAATAGGGTTAAGGTTTCGTGGTTTCAAAGCAATTTAGTAAATTTTAATGCAAATTCATTTTGAATTTTGTTTACTTTTTGGAGCATAAGTGATAATAGTTTTGGTTATGTTAAGAACCTAAAGGGATGGTAGGGGACATTCATTTGATGCGCATTTTTACAATACATAAAATGTGAACAAGTTCAAGTTAAAAGCAGAGAGAAAATTTTGACAAAAGGTTGGTCAAATTTATCACTCAATTTAGTTCGAATTTTGATGGTTATCAGACACAAATTCTAGTAATTTAATCAAAACTTGTGTATTAGAATTGAGGTTATTTTATTATAGTTAGACTACATTTCAACAATTTTGAACGAAAAATAAAATGAACAAAATTTTTATCTTGTTGCAGAAAAAACCATATTGTGCACCAAAATGTCTATTATTAAGATAATAATATATCTTAGATGCAAATGGTGCATCAAATAACCTTTGTTTGATTAACTTAATTCATGTGTATAACCTTTGTATAACCTTTCTTAATCTCCCATGTTTTTATGATCGAGGTTCGGAAGAAATTGAGATTTCAAAGACATGTCTGGCATTTTCTGACATGCTCCTCTCTCCCGGTTTAGTTGATCTCCGATAATTGTGCCGATAAAACGTGAGTCATAGTCATCTCCTCTTCTTCTTTCATAATCCTAATTACGTAAATTAAAATTTGACTTGAACCTATGTATGTTGATTTTCTGTATTATGCAATGATAAATTATCAGTTGTATTCATCTTCATCATGATATCTTCATGTTCATTTACAATTTGAAATATAAATTTTGCTATACAATGATAGATTTGCTTAATTTGGCTAATTGAGTGATAAATTCCTCATAGTTTGCCTAGCTTAGTGATAAATTCTTCTTAATCTTCAGTGTTCAACCTTTGTTTGTTTGCTTAACTTAATTGACTAATAAATCTTCATGGCATATCATCTGTTGGAGAAAATTATTTATTTACGCATTTTTGTTTATGTTGTGAAGTTGAGTTGATTGTTGGTAAATTGAATGCGGTTAGCATTCTGTGGTTTCAAATCAATTCAGTAAGTTTTAATGCAAATTGATTCTAAGTTTTGTTTACTTTTTGGAGAATAAATGATATTAGTCTTAGTTACCTTAAGAGCCTAAGGGGATGTAGGAGACACTCATTTGATGTGCATTTCTAACATTCATAAAATGTGAATAGGTTTAAGTTAAAAGCATATTTTCTATATTGTTTAAATTTATGACATATAAATTTTAAATTTAAATTTATAACATAGTTTGTAATAGTATTTAATTTTTGATAATAATTTTCAAGATAGTCAAAGAAATTGATTTCAGTATCAATCTCATTCATAAATTTATACCATTTCTTAATTATTTTGGATTATTGTTGTTTACCATAAGTATTTTGATAAATCTATCGTTTTAATTTA